TTTTCTGTACAGTTGAGCAAAACACTGCAAAAAGTGATCGAAAATCTAGTTGAGCTAAATAAGCGAACAAAATACGCGATATCCTTTTTCTTAAGCACAAAACAGCTCAGTGGATTATGAAAATTCACAAAAATATTTGAGATGCTTTTTTGCTTTCAGGAACAATTTGTGGCTTACCGCAAGACAACAAGCAAAAAGCTAAGGATTCGGCCTGTGAACGAGTACTGATCCAAGAGCTTGGCCTAGTTATGCCATACGAAGATGATTCGATGAAACGAGCAGCTGCGGTCCTTTCGCCACCGTACGCGCTACATCAGTTGATGGTGAAGCAAAATGTTAGTTTTTTTTTGCTTATGAGGCCTGGTTTTTATATTTTCACTGCTTTTTTCCTACCAATTTCATTGATAAATAAGTGGCCAGCGCACAGACTGCCCGTGCGAAGATGCGTTTTTTGCATAGTTTCCCGCAGGTTTTAGTCACTAACGGCATCGGTTTTTCCGACAAATGCTAATCGCTAAAATAATTGATACTAGCCATCAGGGCTGTCTGAAAACATCCTTTTAAATTTCAGCTTTCTAGCTTTCTTGGTTTTCGAGTTGGCAGTTTGCCCACAAAGAACTTTCACGGGCCCGTGCGTGGGTACCACGCATACCGGTATCTGGGTTCGAGCTCATTAATACTTACCTGGACGGAGAACAATCCCTTAAACTTACAGTCTTCTAGCTTTTCAGGTTTCCGAGTTAGCAACTCACCTGGAAAAGATTTTGACGGGCCCGTATGTAAGTACCACGCATGCCTGAGGGCTCGTTTTGAACTCATTAATACTTACGTGGACGTTGAACATCCCTTAAAACTCCAGTCTTCTGGTTTCTTAGGTTTTCGAGTTAGCAACTTATCCAAAAAAAATTTGGCTGGTCCGTACGCGGGTAAGAGCGCTCATTTTGAAGATGGGGCCTGTACACACATGTAAATTAAGTTCCCAAAGTTTCAGCCCTGCGGCTTTTGTAGGTCTCGAGATGAAAAATCGGTACAGACGAACACACAGACAACCTCTTGTCAGTGTACTTTTTCTGCATTGCATTGATGCAAAAAACGCACAAAAAAGAAAACGAGCGATTCGTTGACTGATAAGATGAAGAATTGTCCGTGGAAAAGATTCAGCGCATCTATGCGATTTAACGAAGAAAGAAGTGGAGAAACAAGTGACGGAATCAAGAATAGTTAGACGCATATCTACCACAGCCCTTACATTCCAGCTTGGAACCACTACTTTTTAGCTGGACCTCCATGGCCCTTTCTTTCCTTTCTATTTCAGTAACTACAACTAGAATGGCTTTTATTTTTTTTTTTTTTTTTT